GGAGGAGGAGGAGAAGANGGAGGAGGAGGAGGAGGAGGAGGAGGAGGAGGAGGAGGAGGAGGAGGAGAAGGAGAAGAAGAAGAAGAAGAAGAAGAAGAAGAAGAAGAAGAAGAAGAAGAAGAAGAAGAAGAAGAAGAAGAAGAAGAAGACGTCAGATCCTCCTTGGATCCTCCATTGGATGCTCCTCCTTTGGATGCTGGGAACTGAACCTAGGTCCTCCAGAAAAACAGCAAACGCTCTTCACTGATGAGCTCCAGTCCCACCGTATTTCTTTTTCTGAAATGCTTAACATGTTCAACATCTTGTTCAATCAGTCCCCTAGATCCACGAGTTCAACTAATCACAGATTAATATTTAGAGAGCTGGACATAGTGGCGCACCCCTTTAATCCCTTGGTAAAGGAAACAGAAGTAGGCAAACCTCCATGATTTCAGGGCCAGACTGGTCTACTTAGGAAGTTCCAGGCTAGACGGAGCTCTAGTGAGACTGTCTCAATACCTAGGAGTGGGCATTGAACATACACAGGCATTTTCCTCTTCCCCTTTGCCTCTAAACAATACAGCACAGTAGCTATTCATTAACACATAGTATTGGTATCACATTAGTTATTATGAGTGACCTAGCTGTGCATTAAGCTCATGGAAGGATGTGTTAACATAGCCGGCAAATACAACCCCTGTTGTTTTGCATTCAATACAGTGGCTGAACCTTAAGCAACTGTTGTCCCAACTGGCAAGCAAGTCTGCAGCTACTAGCAGAGGTTTGGGCAGGATGGAGCAAGACAGAAATTCTGTTCCGTCAGGCACCAGCTCTATTACAGAAACCACCAAGGGAAACTTCATCTAAAAGTCTATCCTTTTTTTTTTTTTCTTTTTGAAACAGGGTTTCTCTCTGTAACAGCCCTAGCTGTCCTGGAACTAGCTCTGTAGACCAGGCTGGCCTTGAACTCACAGAGATCCGCCTGCCTCTGCCTCCTGTGTTGGGATTAATGGTATGCACCACCAACCCAGCTCTATCCTTCTATAGAGCTTGGGATTCAAAGGCTAAGGTAAAATCCTGCTAGCTCAGAGAGGCTGAATAGCAAACAGCTCACCTTCTTTCCTTGCTCTTATCTCCTGAGAAAAAGGGGCATCCTTCTGTTCAGCCCCCACTAAACAGCCCTCATTTCACTACCGCTTCTTACCATTCTCCTTACCACTTCCTGTCAGCTAGTTGCTGACTCAGCCTCCTGACTCTTCCTGATCAAATAAAATGATTAAGTTTTATTTAATCAAATAAATGTTACATGTCTTTGCGTTGTTAACAAAAGCAGCAGAAACAAATACAACACGCCTCTCCACAGTTGAAATAATTCTGCAACAAGCCCCACTGTCCTTAGGGACTTGAGCATCCATAGATTATAACATCCCTGGAACCCGCCTCCACATACAGCGAAGGATGACTGCTTACCCAACTCTGTGATGGAGAATAGGTACCTACCTAGCTCTTCAACAATTCTTTGGGGACTTTGGGACTGAGATTGCTGTACGGTCCAAATGGGACAGAGGCCTGAGATGACTCTGACGGCTGGAGGGGCAGTTGGCATCAGGGAGATCACACGGGAGCAATGGGCACTCTGGCACTCTGGCACTTAGAGAACACCTGTGGGTCAGAATTCAAGGTGGTCCCCACTCATGGAACAGCAGAAGCTGGCTTCCTGGCTGGCGTCTCCATGTTGAGTGCCGGTGCGTGGGTGGAACTGCGAATAAATCCAGTTTCCCCGGAGTGCACAGATTGGGGGGCTCATAAATCAGGCTCAGGTGAAGGTGGGCCAAGAAGAGAGAATGACCCCACGCTTACCTTAGTTCAGTGTAGAAATCTATGTCTTAGGTCAAAGAAACCGGTCCCCTCAGAGCCATTTAAAACACTTCTTTCCTAGACACTAGTGTTTAGTGACTGTTTCCTGATGAGCACAAACAGCACCAGGAGAAGAAAGAGACTGGGAACTCAATGGGCCCTGGTAGAAACAGCCGCCACCAGGCTCAGATCCTAGCTGTATGCAGAGTTCTCGGCAGCGGGAATCAGAATCTCTGCTTGCTAGCATGCAGATTCTGGGGCTCATGTGGCTCCCTGGCTCCTTCCAGAAAACCGAGGTGTGGTGAGTTCACAGCCTCACGTTATTCCTGGTCCAGCTCGAGCCCTAAGAAATGACCTATTCAGGAGTCACAGAGATGCTTTGTGTCTTGGGGGAGTCAGCTGGAGGAGTTTCAGCCCCAGAACGCTGTGTCTTCCCAGGCACCCTGCAAAAGTTCAGTCAACTGCTCTCCAGACTGGGCAGAGGCCTCAAAGAATGCTTCCAGCGCCAGACCCAACACCAGCCTTCAGCATCTCCCAGGACAAACGGTCCCATCCCATTTGTGCCATCTTAGCTCCGTCTATTGTATTCAAGACCCAGGATTAAGACTAGGCTTCAGCCCTGATCAGCCGCAGAAAAACTGGTTTTCCCTCCCCATTCATTTTCTGTAGGACTCCACACAGTTTGTGGTATGTTCTAAAGAGTGGTTCTCAATGTGGGACCCCTGGTCTCCTTCTTTTAGTGAATGAGGACTTTGGAGTGACCCCAGTGACCCGCGTGTTAGGCAGCCCTCCAGGTGAATCAGCGCTAAACCGTTTTCCTTGAATGCTGTGATCCTAGATGAAGGCTGACTGGAAGAACAGATAGATTGCAAGGTAAGATTTACAAATGGTGGGGCTGTGGGCGTTATCTCAAGGTGCCTGTCTCTACCTCTTTGTTTCTTTAGTCTCCACACAAGCTGAGTCATAGTCTTCACACAAGCTGTGTCCTAAGGGGGAAAGACCCCTGTGGTGCCAAGTTGGATTTATGGCTCTGTATCTCTCTTGGGCATCTTTCTGCCCAGGGCTAAGGTATCTCTTAACCTGCTGTTTGCCTTGTTGTGCAATGTAACCCCCTCCCCCACCCTGTCCTTCAGTGACCCTTCTAGGGGCCGGCCACACACCTGGTTACTCAGAAGGCCAACATGAAGACCTATTTCAGACTCTTCCAGTCCTCTCCCCGTCCCCGGACCCCCAACAGGATTCTGTTTCCCCTTTTGTCCCCGCCTCCATCCTCTACAAGAAGATAGGAGACCAGCCTTCTACAACCTAGACACATCCCTAGGACACAGGGAGAGAGGAGCAGGGGGTAGATTTCCTGGATCCTTCATCTACTCCTAGAACTCACTCTGTAGACCAGGCTGTCCTCAAACACAGAGATCTACCTGCCTCTGCCTCGTACCGGGACCAAAGGTGTGTGCCCCCACCATCTGAGCTGTTAAAATAATCTTGGTTCAGGAAACAAAAGGGCTTCGCTGGCAGCCTTAGGGATTTGGGCTTAGAACATACATGTGAAGGTAGGAGTGAGCCAACTCCACAGAGCTGTCCTCTGATCTCACACACACTTACTTACATGTCATGGGTCCCTACACACATCATATACACACATGTGCATATGCATGCACACACATACACACACGTACACTAAATAATTTTAAACGTCTACTCTTGAAGTTCTTAAGATGAAGTCTGTGCCAGGCAGTGGTGGCACACGCCTTTAATCCCAGCACTCAGGAGGCAGAGGTAGGCGGATCTCTGTGAGTTCGAGGCCAGCCTGGTCTATGAGAGCTAGTGCCAGGACAAACTCTAAAGCTACACAGAGAAACCCTGTCTCAAAAAAAAAAAAAAAAGAAGTCTATTTAGAACCAGGTCACAGACCAAAGGATGGAAATAGCCCATTTTCACCCTCATTGAAACACTTTGAGGACCTTCATCCTTAAGTTCTGTTTTTAATTTATTTTTATTTTTATATCCTCTCTCTCTCTCTCTCTCTCTCTCTCTCTCTCTGTGTGTGTGTGTGTGTGTGTGTGTGTGTGTGTGTGTGTGTGAACTGTCTGGTCAGAAGCATCCTTTGGGGGTCATTTCTTTCCATTCATTATTATGGGTCACCAGGTTTGGAGGCTGAGCCTTCTCAGGGCCCATCTTCAGATGCTTTTGTTGAGTGGAATTTATGGCATCTGGGCACGGAGTCAAGACCACCTCCCCATCCCTGTTCTTAAATTCCAGCAGGTTAGAAGGGGGATAAAGAAGAAGAGCTCTCTTGCTGATACCCACTCCCTGAGACCGAGGAGAGATTGTTTAAACCAAGAATGGAGGATTACTGGTTAAATCCTGGGATTAAAATGGATAAACTGGAACTCTTAGTTCCAGGTGAGTGGCCACCCATTAGATGACACAGCTGCTCACGTCTCCAGGGGAAGCCACAATGTCCCCAGTATCAGGAGGGGTCACATGCTCTGCCTTTCAAAACTGTGTAAGTCACTAGGGCCAAGCACCCTAGCAGGCCAAGTGCCCCAGCCAGACTAGTACCCCTCCTAGACAGGTACCCACACGCCAAGTATCACACTGGAAGCCAGTTTTGGGGGACAGGCACCCCACCAGCCACACATCCACGTGCCTTGGATGAGAGCTCAGTTAATTAGCACGAGTTGCCTCTGACTCACTCAAACCACTGCCGTTTTTTTTCCCCCTAACCCTCACATTCAGTATTTACAAAAAAAATTAAAAATCCAATGTGTGATTCTAAAACCAAGGAATGGGCCACACCGGCTACTATGTGAGTCTCCCTTTAGCCCAGTAAAAAGAAAAACGTTGGTTTTGTGCTTTCCCCTTTAAAACAGAATAATAAGTACAGTAGAAAAATACATGAAAAATTATAAATCAGAACTGTTTACTGCCTGTGTCCCCTCTTTCTCCTGTGGTGGAACAGTCAAAAGCTTTTTTTTTTTTTTTCTTTTTTGGCCTGGGCTGAGCCCCAGTGGCTGAGAGGCCCTGTAACTTTAAACCTGGCCTGAGGTCATCTTGTGATGCTGGCCAAACAGAGTCCGGGGGCGGTCCTAGATCTCTGGGCTGGGACCACCTGACGCCCACCCGCTCCCGCCCCGGGTTGAGAGACATAAATGCTGTCTGCGCCGAGAAGTTGCCCGCTGCCAAGTTTGCTGTTCCTGCTGCTGCCGCGAGCCAAGGAAGCCCGGGCACTCTCCGGGACTTCTGCTCACCGCCTTCCAGTCTCCTGCAGAGTTCTTCCCGGCTGGGCCTGTAGTTGTGAAGCCTTTTTTTCCGTCTTTTCACAACCACAAAAACCACTAGCTGCTGAGGCTCCAAAGAGATCAAGATGTGGACGGCGCCGGTGTTGTTCTGGGTTTTGGGGAGCGCGTGGTGCTGGCACTTTGCGCAGGGAGGTAAGTGTCCCGGCCTGAGTGGCTACCAACATTTGCTGGGGGGGGGGTGGAGCGGATGAAGGGAGGCGGGGGTTGCCTGGGATCAGAGAGTGCCCGAGTGCCCGGGAGAAAGCTGGGGCAACTTAGTTGGGGCCAAGTCCCCAGGAACAGTCAGTGGGTGCGGAAGTAGTCCGGATCCACAGGTGGTAGGGGTGCGGAATGTCTCCCGCCTCCCAGGGGCGCGGGGTGGGGGAGGACTAATGTCGTGGAGCGGGAGGGTGATGCCAAGGGGCCCAAAGAGCGGGGTATTAGAGGAATAGTTAATGTCTCTGGAGGAGAGGAACAGGCGGTAGGACAGGTTGGAACCAGGGGTCCCATCCTTGGGGACAGACCTGATGGATGGTAGCCCGGGTGGGAGGCGAAACAACTCGGAGTAGAGGAGGGGAACCGAAGGCTGCTGTCTTTCGAGCAGCCTTGTCTCTGCCTCCTTCCTCTTTTGACTCCAGCGCTGGGAATGGATGGAACCCAGGGCGTCCAGCATCTAAAGCTGTACCTCCTAACCTGGAGCATCGCCGTGAGCATTGAGGTGTAAGTGTGGTTGAGGCCAAGGACTCAGTGGCGTTTGTAAAAGACTAATGGAGCTTAAATGCGCTCAGTTGGCAAAGTCCTTGCCTTGCAGGCCTGATGCTCTGGGTTCCATCCCCAGCAAGGTGCAAAAACCAGCGTAGTGATGTTCACCTGTTGATCTCAGCGTTGGGGAAACAGGCGTTTTCAAGGTCATCCTGGGGGCTACGCAGAGAGTTTGAAAGCAGCCTGGGCCTCAGGAGCGAACCTACCCTGTTTTATTTCTTGCCTTGCGTTTCTAGTTGTGTCTGTTTCCCTGGGGATTCTAAGCTCTACCTTTGATCCCAAACATCACCTGCTCCTCAGCGAGCTAGAGATGGAGCCCTGTCCTTCCCGGGAGGGAAGGAAGTGGTCTGTGTGAGCCGGGTGAGCCTAGCCTCGGCTTCTGTAATTCTCCACCGACAACACCTACCTAGTCTTCGGGAAATTATACAGCACGCTGCTTCAAAGAGGCGAAGCTGCTCTTTATGGCACTCTGGGCTATTCCTGGCAGGCCTATCTTTGAAACTTCTCCTTGCGCTAGGATGATATATACAGTTCTGTATTTCAGTTCTATTTCTGGTCTGGCGAGACAATGTGTGTAAATGACATGGCTTTTCACTCGCCCCAACCACATCCGAGGAAAGCCAGAGACTGGCTAGCATCCTCTCAGGCAAGGGTAGGCTGCCAGTTCCCAAGGTGCTCCTAAAATGTAGCTGCTGTTCGGTCTTGTCTAGAGTCTTCGTTGTGCTATATTAGAAACTGTACAACCGAAGAAAGAGGCCTGGTAAAGAAAGGGGTGGCCATGTGGCCAGTGCTGTGCAGGCTGCTCTGCTGCAAGATTGAAGCCTATAGGGGTTTTGTCTGGGAATAATGAATATGGATGAGCAACACCATTGAGCTGAGGCATTATTGGGGAGCCAGACTGGAGGTGATTGTGGTGTGCTGACTCTATTAGGGTCATGTGCCATGATTTAGTATTAGAATCCAACCCCCTTTGCCACCTCTAAAGTCCTCGTGGATTCTAAAGAGGCCTGTTGTCCTCACATCTGGCATCTCCCTCCATTGCCAGGCCCCACCCTCTCTCTGAACATTCATCCAAAGCCTGTACCCGAGGGCCTGTCCGTTAGACAATTAATTGTTGTAAGATTCTGAAAGTCGCTGCTTGCTGCTAAGCCATGTGTGCTCTTCCGGGACCAGTCCAAACAGGATTAATCATGTGGCCAAGAAATCGTCCTGTGATTTCCCTGAAGTTCTTGCCAGTTTGGGGGAGGTGGGGAGCTGGAATCCTCATGGGTTGCTGAGGGTTTTTGGTGCAGAGACGTTGAATAAAGCTTCTTCTCGTAGAGATTCTGCGAGGGAAGCTTGGGCTGTGATCCCAAACTGAGTTCAGAAAGAAAAAGCACATTTGAAGGTCTGTGTTCGGCCCCAGAAGGCTGAGTGTCCCTGTAACCAACAGTGCCCAACTCAGTTCACCACTTACTGACTCAGTGCTGGCACAGATAGAGACCCAAATGTTGGCATGAGTGAGGATGGCCCTGCCTAGTGGGCAGGGTACCACTTCGTTGCATTCCCATCCCCCACCACATTCTAGGAATGTCACCAGACTACCTCATTTAATCCCCGACAACTCCTGTAAATTATACGCTATTATCTCAGAAGCTGCCAGAACAAAAATTCAAAAGCAAAGTCAAACTCCTCACTACTCCTGAACTAAAAAAAAGGATAATAAAAAAAAGACAGTTGAACTTGACGCCAAAGGTGGACTTCACTTTCAGTCCCTTAAACATGAATACAAACTTTCCTAGACTTCTTTCAGTTATGTGCTCCCCACACTGTAATCGGTGCATCAAAATAGATTGCCTTAATCCATCCTGCTCACAGGTGCTAAATACCTCTCAAGAGGGTGCGGCAGGTTGCTGGGTGCAGGAAAGCCGAACGTGTGCTCCGCCGTCCTCGCCAACCAAGAATGAACCTGTGCTCCGGATTGCACTGGCTTATCTGAATTTTTGTCATAGTTCTGGCTTATGAGAACAGGCATTCCAGGTTACAACTTGTGGAAGTATTTCGGGGGAGGCTGAGAAGGGAGCCAACTCAAATGCCAGTCTTTCCTGGAACCCCGCAGAGGATCCCCAGCCCAACCTCCCAGCGCTCAGGGAAACCCTGCTTATCAGGGAAGAAACCGATGTGGTCTTGTTAGAGGAGGGTCCATGACTGGAGAGGTTGAGACACTCTCAAAGCTGATGAGGTTGCTCACAGAATTCTCGCGGGGTACACAACAGATTAAGCTCCCTTTGCCTGCAATTCTGAGTACTGCGATTTGGCGTGCGCAGGCCAAATCGTCCTCAATGACTCCGCACCCTATTTTAGAGACACTGACTCATTGAACCTGGGGTTCACCAATTGCTAGACTGAACACACAGGAATCTGGTTGCCTCTACCTCCCCAGTCTTGCGGTAACAGATGCGCCCTGCTTTTCGTGTGAGTCTGGGGGTTGGAACTCAGATCCTCATGTGCGCATGGGGAATACTTTACTAAATGAGCCATCTCTCCATCCCCTGGAAAGTTCTGGGAAAGGAAAGTGATCAGGCTTTTCATCCAAGATCGAATGCAGGATAGAGCCAGGTTAGGAAACAGCTGACATTCTGTCAGGTTCATGCAGGGCAGGAAATGGAGGTGTCTGTTTCCTCCCACGCGTCTAACCACAGCGCTGTCCGTCTTCCCAGCCCATTCATGGCCAGCCAGGTGATGGGAAACTCTTGAACATCAACGGAAAGAGTAGATAGAGCAAGGCTAGAGAGACAGCTGGACGGATAAAATGCTTGCTGTGCCAACAAGAGAGCCTTAGTTTGGTTCTCAGAACCATTTAAAAAAGCTGGGCGGTAGCAGGGATTTGTAATCACGGTGCTAGGAATGCAGAGTCAGCCACATCCCCCAGGCTCTCTGGCCAGACAGTCTAGCCCAATCCACAAACTCCAGGCCAGGGAGACACCCTGCCTCAAAAAAAAATAAGATACCTAGAGACTAATACCTGAGGTTATCCTTTGACTACAAACGCACACGCACGCACATATACCGGTACCTCTGTGTTTACATCTGGTCTCATGTCTTTGTCTCAGAGAACGGTTTGTATTCGGAGGTGAATCTGGTTAAATTCAGAGGGAGACTTTTGCCCTTGGCCAGCTGATCACTTCCTTGGAGAAACAGAAGACAAACATTATAGACTCAAGGCAAAATGGATGCAGTTTCAAAAACAAAAGACATATGCAAAGAATGAAGATGAGCTTGTGATTTCTGTCCAGAGGGTCAAAAACTGGAGAAATGCCTGGAGAGGTATGGGCAGGTCAACCCGCACCACAGCGGGGCTCTCTGTTAAATTGGCAGGGTACTGGGGAATGCCAGTAGTTTGGAGCACAGTTGGAGGCCCGGGACGCAGGGGTGCAAAATGTGTAAACAGTACTAAGGGAGCAGGGTATTTCCCAGAGGCCTTCATTGTGTCTTCACCAAGGGGAATAAAAGGCAGCAAACAAACAAGGCTGTAAAGCAGAGGGGAGTGCCCCACCCGAGGGAGAAAGGACTTAGTTTGCTTGGTTCTCTGGAAAGGGAGAGAGGGAGAGAGAGGCAACCGCCCTGCCCAAGGAATTTGCTTATTTGGCAGATACTTAAGAGTCCTTGCTGTGTGTTCAGGCTTTGGAGCGTGGTGTTATCCTGCTTTGAGCTCCTAAGGGGAGGTCCGATCTGGCAGCTTTGGGGAGTCTGACCTCAGTTAGGGTGGGTCCTTGAGCATCAGAGATCTTTATTCCCTTAATCTGGCAACACATTCCATCCAGTGCTTTTTGTTCTACAGAAGATCAAACATCTCCAGAACCTTTGTCACTTGAGAAGGGCATGACATCGGTCGCAACTATGTACATAAAGTGCAGAAGAACAAGTCTTATTTGTGCATGTGTGTGCGTGTGCGCAGATGTGGAGGCCGGAGGAAAAAATCTCTATCTTATCCTTTTTTAAAAATTTTAAGATTTATTTTTATTTTTAAAAATTGTGTGAATGCATATATGTCTGTGTGGGGGTATGCGCACCTGAGTGCAGGTGCCCACACAGGCAGGGGGAGTCAGATCTCACAACAGGCAGAGTTACTGAGAATTGTGAGCAGCCCGAAGTGGGTGCTGGGAACCAAGCCCAGTTCCTTTGGCAGTGTAGTATTAGCGCTCAACCGCTGAGCTATCTCTCTCTTCAGGCTCCCTACGTGGTTTCTCAGAGACAGGCTCTCTCACTGGTCTGGACCTTGTCAAGGACACCAGGTTGCGGGGCCAGCAAGCCCCAGAGAGCCACCTTGTCTCTTCTTCCTCAGAGCTAGGGTAGAAGTCACACACCATTACAGCTTTGGTTCTGGGGATCCAAATGAGGTTTCCATCTGT